GCCTTATCCCCCCAGGCCATCTCAGTCTCCACTGGCCTTCAGCCCCTTTGCAGCACATTGTGTCAGCTCAGATCTAGGGAGGCATGTGCAGAGCCTTCCACTGTCTTTAGTGTGCCCTCTGCTGCCCAACAGGTTTGATTGTCACTCTTGCATAGTCCTGGCTATAAATTCATAGACCATCTTGTAAAGCTGGACAAGCCAGTTTGCTGGGGGTACACCCGAGGAATAGGTGGGCTTGTCCTAAGGCACATCAGGTAGACTTTAGAAAAAAATACCTGAAATAATGCCATGAAATTCCTGTGACCAAATGACTACAGAAGAGCAGATACCAAGGATGACCGCTTTGTCTGTGATCAAGGACATTAAGTTACCAGATGAACTATTTAATAACCAGATAGAATGGTCAAGAGAAATTTTAATATTAAGTGTCAGTATTTGTTGAGCACTTTCTAACATTTCAGGTGTGCTGAGTTAGCTGTGGCAAATGCTTCCATGCATCCATGCAGACCCTGCCACCATGGCAGACATCACCAATCATTGGTTCTCTTCCCCACAGGGTTAGGATGTGGTCTCATAGCCCTTCTCAGTTCAGTATTCCAGGAAGTCAGTACCATGACTTAAGAGTCGATGCATAAAACAAAACTGGTTTAAGATACTCCTGACATGCTTTGCATCTATTTCCTCATCTTGCCCTTATACTAATTCCTTGAGATAGCCATGGCCTCATTTTACAAAGGAGGAAATGGAGGCTTAGAGATCCTGTATCTATTAAGATTCTAGTCTATGGCAGTTTGATTCCAAAGCCAGTTCCTTTATTGTGTGACCCTGCCCCTCTACTCTTTGTTGGGTTTTATTTTTTATTTGTTTATTTGTTTATTTATTTTTAGGGACAGGGTCTTACTCTATCACCCTGACTAGAGTACAGTGGCATCATTGTAGGCTCACTATAACTTTGAACTACTTGGCTCAAGTGATCTTCTCACCTCACTCCTGAGTAGCTGGGACTAGAGGTGTGTGCCACCCAACCTGGCTAATGTTTAAATTTTTTGTAGAGACAGGATCCTTTTTTTTCTTTTTAATGAGAAATTCACCACTTTATTGGCTTTGTGTTAGATGATTTTGCCTAACTGCAGGTTAACCTAAGCATTCTGGTTCAGGAGCAAGGTTCAGGACGTCAGGTGTATTAAATATGTTTTTGACTTGTGATACTTTAACTTACAGTAGGTCTATTCAGACAAGTTGAGGAGCATCTATATATTCAACATTGCTAATGTCTGACTACTTTCACTAAATACTTACTTGAAAAGTAAAACTCTTTCCTCACTTCAACCTTGTGATGTAGGTCTTTGATTTAAAAACTGCAAAACAGGCTCGGCACCTGTGGCTCAAGTGGCTAAGGCGCCAGCCACATACACCTAAGGTGGCAGGTTCAAATCCAGCCCGAGCCCGCCAAACAACAATGATGGCTGCAACCAAAAAACAGCGAGGCGTTGTGGCGGGTGCCTGTGGTCCCAGC